AGAAAGGATTTGAAAATGAAGGAGGGGCAAGGATGGAGAGGGAGAGACAAGCGAAAAGGCGAAGATTGTCTATAAAAGAAGGGGGTAACCTCGCTGGCGCTGAATGACAGGGAGGTGATCTAGATGCTCCTCTCTCATGAAACATTCCTGAAAGAATCAGACTGAGCGAGAGGGACGGAGAGGAGACAGCTGCTAGGACCAGACTGCAGGAGCGATGCTGGTGCTTCTCTTGTATCCTTTGAACATTAGGAAATGGATAAAAGGAAAATGCAATGGTTGTTGTTTTGTTCATGTGTGGAGGAGGGAGGGGGAATATGGGGGGGGGGGGGGTTGGGGTGTCTCTGCAGACCCGGGCTCATTTTTGCCCAGGTGGAGCTGATGTCATGGAGTCACAGGTACAGCTCTCAACTGATTTGCACAGGTATGAGTACATACACTCTTGTTGCCTTTTTTAACTTGAATTTTGGGGATGCCAGTAGAGTGGCTTGTGCTACGGTCTAACCATCATTGTATTAACTCTTTTGCTGCTGAAAAAAAAAGGTGCAACGGCTGCTGGAGCGTTATTTCATGCAGATCATCTGCGCTATTGCCCCAGCTTTCCTCTCTCATGCTACATTACAGATAGCGACGTTACAGATAACCGTAACACAGCCAACCTCTGCATCTTGCCCCCCTGCTTGAGTTGATTACTCATCCAACTGAGGTTCACATGAACAGTAAAAATGTCTCTATTAATCTCAATTAAATATCTCTCCCCCAAAATCCAGCCAATCTCAGTGGAAGTGATCTTCAGTGTCTCCGTGCAAGATTGCAGACGTTTCCAGGAGCAATTATGTTCTTTACGCCAGCTGAGTGATGGTGGCAGGATCAGTCAGCAGTTAAAATTCTGTGTATGTCTGTGTGACTTCATGTCTGCTCTGTATGACCGGGGAAAAAGTGTTTATGGATGTATAATGGAGGTTTATGATTCGTGAGTGGGCAGTTTTTGTCCCAGCAGGTAAATATCTACTTATGGATGTTTTATATACATTGGCGCTTTTATGATTTTGTATATTGGTTGTCTATCGTAATAGCTTTTTATGAAGAAAGTTACCATTCATTCTCAATGCAGAATATGTGTGAGAACTTCGTACCCTGATATTGCTGAGTGTAAAAGAGTTTTGTCCTGATGTCTGTGAGTGTGGAAGACATGTGTCCTGATGTCTGTGAGTGTGAAAGACATGTGTCCTGGTGTCCGTGAGTGTGGAAGATACCTGTCCTAATGTCTGTGAGAGTGGAATACATGTCCTGATGCCTGTGGGTGCGGAAGACGTGTCCTGATGCCTGTGAGTGTGAAAGACATGTGTCCTGATGTCTGTGAGTGTGGAAGATGTGTCCTGATGCCTGTGGGTGTGGAAGACATGTCCTGATGTCTGTGAGTGTGGAAGACATGTCCTGATGTCTGTGAGTGTGGAAGACGTGTCCTGATGTCTGTGAGTGTGGAACATGTGTCCTGATGTCTGTGAGTGTGAAAAACATGTCCTGATGTCTGTGAGTGTGGAAAACATGTCCTGATGTCTGTGAGTGTGGAAGACGTGTCCTGATGTCTGTGAGTGCGGAAGACGTGTCCTGATGCCTGTGGGTGCGGAAGACGTGTCCTGATGTCTGTGAGTGTGAAAGCCATCTGTCCTGATGTCTGTGAGTGTGAAAGCCATCTGTCCTGATGTCTGTGAGTGTGGAACATGTGTCCTGATGTCTGTGAGTGTGGAAAACTTGTCCTGATGTCTGTGAGTGCGGAAGACGTGTCCTGATGCCTGTGGGTGCGGAAGACGTGTTCTGATGTCTGTGAGTGTGAAAGCCATCTGTCCTGATGTCTGTGAGTGTGAAAGCCATCTGTCCTGATGTCTGTGAGTGAGGAAGATGTGTCCTGATGTCTGTGAGTGAGGAAGATGTGTCCTGATGTCTGTGAGTGTGTGGGTGTTCTGTGGTCTGATGTCTGTGTATATGGGAGCTCTGTGGTGAGATGTCTGTGTATATGGGAGCTCTGTGATGCGATGTCAGTGAATTTGCAAGCTCTGTGGCCTGATACTACCTATGTATGTAGAGAAAAATGTAGGACGCACTGGTGCAGACCTTTATGCCTTGCCACTCCTGACCTCATAATCTGACTGGGAATGTTACAGGTTAGTTTACCAGGAAATTGTAATACATATGGGTATCAAATTCTGCATTCTTGGACAGGTTTGTCCCAGAGAGCAGAGAGGCGGTGAAACACAAGGAAGGTAAGTATTCTGTGTAGCTCCTCATTAATGTGAATCTACTGTTTGCTGTGCATGAACAAAGCACAGATTCAGTTTCAGTGTTAGTACATTTATTGTTACTAAAATACAGTAACATTGATTTAAAATAGGAAAAAATGAAATAGATCATTATGGAAGGTCCAATGTTGGTATCTTGATATGTTTGTAAAAACGTATCAGCTGCTTTTTGGGTATCTGCTTGTCATGCACTGTACCCTCACGGAGTTACCCTGGGCCTTTTGTCCTGGAATTGGTGTAGAAGCCATTGATTGGTGGTCAGTATTTTAGGGTTAGTGGGAAGTAGCGCCTTATGGGCTAATCCTGTGGCTAAGAGACCATTTTGGAGATTCTGCCAGCGAGGGAATGATGCCATAGAAGCAGGAACGTGTTCTCTTTAGTGAGCAATTTGCTACCAGCAACAGGTGTGACATGTAGAAAAGGGTGTTTGGGGTTGATGGAAGAAGTGTTCCGATCCATGGTTAGTCTCCCTATATAGGTAGAGTCACCATATAGGTAAAGTTTTACTCTTCGAACCATAACATTTTCACATGTGTCTCATATTCTAAATATATGCAGCACCTCTCATATTTTCCTGTCTAATATGTTACATGTGCCATGCTTTTCCGTAAGATACGTATCAATTATTGTACTATTATTCATTTCTATTCATCACCACCCTCTGCAATTCACAAAATGAGGGCATGCAGGCTGTTAAGATTGCATTAAAACATATGCAATAAAACAGCCACAATTGCATGAAACAACAGGATCTGATTTGCTGAAACACAAACACAGTCTAAAAAGCAGGACGTGTAGATTTAATATGAAAGGAGAAGCCTGTGTTAAAAAAGCCCTCAAACCCATGGAGTGTTCACATAGCAACAGTTCTAATCAGGCTGCACTGATCCTTATCACCTACTAGCCTCACAGACACTTATCACTAAGGAAAGGGATTCTGTTTAAAGGACATTAAATATGTTTTTCTTGTGTTTGTAAAGTAGGATAATGTAACATATTTAGAACGTCGTGGAAGGGCCCCTGACAGGATCATGGAGAGGCAAGTGGGCCGGGATGCTGTATGGGTTTTATCTTGTGTATTTTTTTAATTTAGAACTTGACCCTCCAATTAATCGGTTTCCCAAAACAGTTATTTTTAAGGCACGACAACTGTCAAGGTTGCCATTGTGCCAATTTCAGCTCTCAACCAAACTTTCAAGCCCTCAAATGGCCGGTGTCATAGCTGATCACATGTGCAGCACCATGGCAACTGAAAACCAAACAGAGGCTAAAACGGCACCTTCCTTGATTTGTAAATGATGGGGGAAGTAGTTTTGCATTAACTTTGTGGCCAGATGTTTTAACCACTTAAAGCCCAAGGTGTTAAACCCCCTTCCTGTCCAGGCCATTTTTCAGTATTCAGCGCTGCGGTACTTTGACTGACATTTATTCCGTCATGCAACGCTGTACTGTAATCAATTTTATACCATTTTTTTGGGACACATAGAGCTTTGTTTTGGTGGTATTTAATAACCACTGGGGTTTTTATTTTTTACTATATAACAAAATAAGTACCTTAAATTTTGAAAAATATTTATTACCACCCCAATTCTTTTGTAAAATATAAAACCACTTTACGTTGGGTAAATAGACACCAAACACGTCAAGCCTTAAAATTGCACATGCGCGCAAAATCGCAAAAAAAGAAGACGCTTTAAACGCTTTTACTGCTCATCAGTTTAGTGGTTTCAGTGATTAATGGCCCAAAAATTATTGCACGCACGTATAGCGCACCCGACGCATGTTCGTGTGTGTATGTGGGGGCCGGGGGGACTTAAACACTTACAGTTTTTTTATGCTTCTTTCATTTTTTTATTACTTTTTACACTTAAATTTATTGCTATCACATAGGGGAATAAGAATCCCCCTATGTGATAGGCAATTTACATGAAAGTCACCTTTATGGAGACATCAGGGGGTCTCCAAGACCCCTAATGTCTCCTAGGGACCCCCCCGAGAAGCTGATGAAGCAGAGAACTGCTTCACCAGCTTATCCCCGCCTTCTGTAGCTGGGAATAACAGCTGAATGCGGAAGTGATGTAATATACATCACTTTCATTTTTGCTTTCCTGTTAGGGGGATACACCCTCTCTATTTGTCCTGTTGACTGTTATCACTGAAAGTGAAAAAGAAAATCCCAAATTTTGGGTCATCATCGAAATAGGAATAGATGGGAAATTTTCCAGTGGGGACAAAAGTTCTGGTGACCCTGATGGCCACCAGGGATTTCCTTTTTTTTAGAGGGATCCCTTCTTACTTCCTTTTGTGGCTATCGGACAGGAAGTGAAGGGAAATCTCCTCAATGGGACACAGATGGCAGGAAAAAAAAAGCTTACCGGGTTATAACTCTCCCTTACTCTATCCAAAACTAGAAAAAAACATTTTGGCTTCTGTTCTCCTTTAAAGGGGAGTACACGGTCGGCGGGCTTTAGCACATTAATTCATATTGCCAATATGATGAATACAATACGTCTTTTTTTCACCTATTAAAAGAAGGTTGAAGACTTGTTTCCCATGATGACTGGTGAGGTGACATCATGAGGTTTTGATTATAATCTTGTTGCATGCTCTTCTCAGGTGCGCCAGACTGCATAAATACTTATACATATCAAACATCTCTCTTTGTGTTCTGACCACACAGGAAGTGAGTAGAAATTTCTGCAAAGAGGCCACGGGGCTGAAAAAAATAAAATACTGAGAGTCTCTAACTCTCCAACCACTACATGGGGTTTTTGGCTGGAGTTTTATGTTAATTACATGTTGGAATTTGCTGTGTCTTTGGTTGTTCTCTTTAACGTGCAGTCCATAGCGTCGTCGGTTTTTACTGTCCTGACTTGTCCTCCGTCTGGGCTGGAAGCTTCGGTTGTTGAAGGGCAGCTCCGCTGGGCTGCCTCAGGGGATGCTTCCAGGGTCATCATCCAACCTGCCCGGGCTTTGTGGGCAGAGGGTCAGCTCATTGGCAGATGAGCTTCTAGAGTGGCAGCATGTCTTCATTTGGAAAGTTAACGGAATATTTCAGCCTGAGGAAATCACGAGAGGATATCCGACCTGGACGCAGCACGGGACGGAGAAGCGGGAGCTACTGTTGTACTATCACTCAATCAAGGTATACAATATATATGCTCTTTATGGACTTGGCTTAGGTTCTATTGTGGTCTTTGTCCCCCTGAGAAGACTCTTCCTCTCACTTTGTTGTGGTGACCATTGTCACAGGGACAGAAAATGATGGGAAAACCCTCCTCTTCGTAACAGGAAGTGAAGGGAAATGTCCCCAGTGGGACACACATTGCAAAAAATATCCAATGAGGGTTTTAAACCATTCCCTACTCAATTTGAAAAAATAAAAACCAAAAACCTTTGGCTGTAGTTGCTAGGGTAGTATGGTTGGTTTGAGATCAGTTTGTGCTTTTATTCCTCCATACAATTGAAGCCAAAACTTTTTCCTTAATCTTGGATAGGGTGGAGAGCGATTAGAACATCGGTCAGGTGTTTATTGCTGTCTGGGTCCTCGTTAGGGAGAGTCACCATGGCGATTGTTATCAGTGAAAGAAAAGCCCAAATTTTGGGTTGTCATCAGAACAGGAATAGGTGGGAAATCTTCCAATGGGGACATTAGTTCTGCTGACTCTGTTGACCACCATGGATTTCCCTTACCTTGGAGGGATTTCCTCTCACTTTCTGTTGTGGCTATTGGGCAGGAAGTGAAATCTCCACAATTGGAGAGAGATGGCCGAATATTTTCCAACCAGCTCTTTCGATCGTTTGATCGAGGAATGCCGACGGGATGGGTGCTGACACTGGTTCATAAAGAAATGGACCGAATTCACATAGTGTATGGCCCGCTTTACTCTACCTAAAACTAAAAAAATTTCTTGACTGCAGTTCTATTTTAAAGCAAATGTGTGGTAAACATAATGCAAAGGCATCACAAAGTGACCTCAAATGTTCTGATATACTAACCCCAAATCTTAGCTTCATTTATCTAACAAAAAAAAAAGAAAAATTATATCAAAAATGTTAAAAAATTGTGCTCCTCCTGTGTTCTCATGCAATGAATGATAAATGAGCTGCAGTATGTCATGACACAGTTTGTCTTCCCAAAGGACAAAACAAAAGTGTGTAAGTGATATGACATGAGGGTATAAATGACACAATCAGGATCCTAACCAACTCTCCTGTCTTTCCAGAGGCATCTTCCTATCACAAGAAGCAGCAATGTAGCTACATCTGCCAGTTAGCCCATGGTAGTGTCAGTGGCTGACAATGCATTGCTGATTATTGCCAAACATATTTCACCTGTGTACCAGTGTATGAACATATAAGTGTAACCGTGGGAAGAAATAAAAAAAGGACATATGCTTCAGTCTGTCATTGGCGTTACAAAAGGAATTTTTGCGTTTTTGGGTCCTCCTTGTAACATAAGGGGTTATTAATTTAGCTGCAGAAGGAATAACCGAGCCAAAGTGAAGTGAGCCGAACGCTGTTCACTTCACTTCAGCCTTGTACGGCTGATTTCAGCCGCACATCTGCTAAAATCAGCCGTGCATCGGCTACCTTCACCATGTTCGTCTGAGCCTGCATGTTCGTCTGAGCCACAGTGCAGAAGGAGTTCCACTCAGCTGATCCAACATCTGGATCTGCTGAGCCAAAGCGCCGGCAGCTCACTCACTGCCGTTCGCCACTATTCATATAGGGGCCGAATCAGGGGCTGACTGGCAACTTTTAGCCCAGGGGGCAAGTACAACCCGGAGGCCCATGGTGCAGCGACTTGGCCCCCCTCCCGCTCTGCCTCTTCCCCGCCCCCACTTGCCACTTTTGACATCCATGTTATGGTAGTGTGAACGGTCGGGTGATGTGAGGAATCACTAGTCAGTCCATGAAAGGGGTGACAGGCTGGGGAATGGTGCTCTCCTCCCACTGGGCTCCCTACATGGCTCTGGCCTTACTCCGCTCCATGTCCGCTACTTAGGCACTCTCGCCCACTGTAGGCCGCTGGACTTTTGGACTGTGAGCTGTGGGAGGCGCTGGACAGTGTCAAGGTCAGTGTTCCATAATTTTTCTCAACCCCATACATTTTCTCGAGCACGTCAATTACGGTGGGGCCGCGTCATCCGAATCAGATGTTTTCATGACCCCCTTTCTTCATGCACTTCATACATTATACAGCAATCAAGAATAATACCATCAGCTATAGAGGACTACAAATCCCAGCAATACATTATACAGCAATGCAGAATAATAGTATATTAAAATGCCACATACTCTTTGCTGCTCTGCTCTGGGGTGTCAGCCTGATGTCTTGGTCAGAGGGTCTCAGGGGGGGTGTGGAAGAGTTCTCAGAAGGGGTGGGGAGGGTCTTAGCAGGGGGAGATGTGAGCAGGCACCGTGTGGTTCCCCAGAAGGCTGCTGCGTGGTCCCCAGCAAACGTGGGATCTAAGCGCCGGTATCGGTTTCAAGTATCAGGGCATTCTCACCAATAATGGTCTGAAGATCTTTGTAGGTGTCAGAAATCATGTGTAATAACACTAGCGAGGACTGTCACCAGCATGTGTGCCCAAACTTGCTCCGCTCCCCTTCTGCTTTTTCTGTGAAGAGTTTATAACATAGAGTGCAGAGGTCAGCGGTGTGAGCATACAAAGGTCAGTAATAACACACAGTACAGAGGTCAGCAGTGTAATGTAGAGGTCAGCATGATATGTAGTGCAGAGGTCAGTATGTAACGCAGTGCAGAGGTCAGCATGTTACGTAGTGCAGAGGTCAGTATGTAACGCAGTGCAGAGGTCAGCATGTTACGTAGTGCATAGGTCAGTATGTAACACAGTGCAGAGGTCAGCATGTTACGAAGTGGAGCAGTCAGCATGTAACGCAGTGCCGTGGTCAGCGGCCATTATGTAATGCAGTGCAGTTGTCAACATGTACCGCAGTGCAGAGGTCAGCATGTAACGCAGTGCAGCAGTCAGTATGTAATGCAGTGCAGAGGTCAGCATGTAACACAGTGCAGAGGTCAGCATGTAATGCAGTGCAGAGGTCATCATGTAACGCAGTGCAGAAGTCAGCATGTAACGCAGTGCAGAAGTCAGCATGTAACACAGTGCAGAGGTTCGCATGTAACGCAGTGCAGCAGTCAGCATCTAACGCAGTGCAGCAGTCAGCATCTAACGCAGTGCAACGGTCAGCATGTAACGCAGTGCAGCAATCAACATGTAACGCAGTGCAACGGTCAGCATGTAACGCAGTGCAGCGGTCAGTATGTAACGCAGTGCAGCAGTCAGTATGTTACGTAGTGCATAGGTCAGTATGTAACACAGTGCAGAGGTCAGCATGTTACGAAGTGGAGCAGTCAGCATGTAACGCAGTGCAGTGGTCAGCGGCCATTATGTAATGCAGTGCAGCTGTCAACATGTAACGCAGTGCAGAGGTCAGCATGTAATGCAGTGCAGCAGTCAGTATGTAATGCAGTGCAGAGGTCAGCATGTAATGCAGTGCAGAGGTCAGCATGTAATGCAGTGCAGAGGTCATCATGTAACGCAGTGCAGAAGTCAGCATGTAACGCAGTGCAGAAGTCAGCATGTAACACAGTGCAGAGGTTCGCATGTAACGCAGTGCAGCAGTCAGCATCTAACGCAGTGCAGCAGTCAGCATCTAACGCAGTGCAACGGTCAGCATGTAACGCAGTGCAGCAATCAACATGTAACGCAGTGCAACGGTCAGCATGTAACGCAGTGCAGCGGTCAGTATGTAACGCAGTGCAGCAGTCAGTATGTTACGTAGTGCATAGGTCAGTATGTAACACAGTGCAGAGGTCAGCATGTTACGAAGTGGAGCAGTCAGCATGTAACGCAGTGCAGTGGTCAGCGGCCATTATGTAATGCAGTGCAGCTGTCAACATGTAACGCAGTGCAGAGGTCAGCATGTAATGCAGTGCAGCAGTCAGTATGTAATGCAGTGCAGAGGTCAGCATGTAATGCAGTGCAGAGGTCAGCATGTAATGCAGTGCAGAGGTCATCATGTAACGCAGTGCAGAAGTCAGCATGTAACGCAGTGCAGAAGTCAGCATGTAACGCAGTGCAGAGGTCAGCATGTAACACAGTGCAGAGGTCAGCATGTAATGCAGTGCAGAGGTCATTATGTAACGCAGTGCAGAAGTCAGCATGCAACACAGTGCAGAAGTCCGCATGTAATACAGTGCAGAGGTTCGCATGTAACGCAGTGCAGAGGTCAGCATGTAACGCAGTGCAGCAGTCAGTATGTAACGCAGTGCAGCAGTCAGTATGTAACACAGTGCAGCAGTCAGTAATGCAGTGCAGTGGTTAGCATGTAACGAAGTGCAGAGGTCAGCTTGTAACGCAGTGCAGCAGTCAGTAACGCACTGCAGTGGTCAGCATGTAACGCAGTGCAGAGGTCAGCATGTAAAGCACTGCAGAGGTCAGCATGTAACGCAGTGCCATGGTCAGCGCTCAGTATGTAACACAGTGCAGTAGTCAGCATGTAACACAGTGCAGCGATCAGCATGTAACGCAGTGTAGCAATCAGCGGTCAGTATGTAATGCAGTGCAGCAGTCAGCATCTAACCCAGTGCAGTAGTCAGCATGTAACGCAGTGCAGCATTCAGCATGTAACGCAGTGCAACGGTCAGCATGTAACGCAGTGCAGCGGTCACTATGTAACGCAGTGCAGAGGCCAGCATGCAAGCATAACGCAGTGCAGTGGTCAGCATGTAATGCAGTACAGCGGTCAGCATGTAACGCAGTGCAGCGGTCAGCATGTAACACAGTGCAGCGATCAGCATGTAACGCAGTGCAACGGTCAGTATGTAAGGCAGTGCAGCGGTCAGCATGTAACGGAGTGCAGCGATCAGCATGTAATGCAGTGCAGCAATCAGCAGTCAGTATGTAACGCAGTGCAGCAGTCAGCATCTAACGCAGTGCAACGGTCAGCATGTAACGCAGTGCAACGGTCAGCATGTAACGCAGTACATCGGTCAGTATGTGATGCAGTGCAGAGGCCAGCGGTCAGCATGTAACGCAGTGCAGCAGTCAGCATGTAACGCAGTGCAGCGCTCAGTAACGCAGTGCAGAGGTCACACAGAAAGAAGAGGGACTTACA